CACAAATTTTCCTTTATCCAAAAAAAAAAAACCGGTTTGCAAGTCAACAATCGCTTAGTTTAACATGCGCTCGTACTTTTCTCCTTTCGTATACTTTACTTATCACTTAAATAAGCTTAATAACCTAGCGTCAAATTTAAATTTTAAATTAAGGTCCGCTTGCGAAGTTAATTGAAAAACCAAATCTTATTTTCTATTTTTATTATTATCGCTTTCTATTTCTATTATTATCTATTTCTTCTTCTCCTTTTATTTTCTCTTTCTAATGTATTTGCATCCTTTCATCCAAGAATCTTTTTTTGATTGCATTTTAAAACAAGTAGCATTCTAAATATGGAACAGCTTTTGACTGCTGATGCAATTTTTATATCAATTTCATCAATTTATATGTATTTCATATTTATATTTAATTGACAATGACTAGATTCAGCGAATCGGTCGATTTTCGTGTGGTCGGGCAATCTGGAGACAATGACCGACTTCGGTGTACGTGCTATACCGGTCGGCGGCGATTATACGCCGGTGGAAATGTAAGGCGATAACGAACACGCGAGCGGAAGGATCTCGCGGCGTGTGAACGGCTGCTGCATGTAGGTGAGCAAGTTGCTTAGCCAGTCCGCGGTGAACTGTTATATGCACTGGCATGCCGCCAGTCGCTCGTTGAAAAGCCATTTCTGGTGGCAATGCCAACGACGAAGGCGCTACACTAGAAAACACTCGCGATTCTCCGCGCGTCAAAACTCGTTCCGAAGGCTCCGACAGCGATCGTATGCGTCGAAAGGTTCATGGTACACGTTTCCAAGTCTGAGAAGCAACAGTCGAAGCATCGAAAATGCGAACAAGCCTAGCCCAATTTAATTTGGGGCAAGGCTGTAAATGCTTGCACTCAATTTGTTCATATCGACGTTTATATACAAAATAATTTACTTTTCATACATTTTTTTATTTGTGTCATATAAAATAAAAATATATTTTCTTATAATATATATTGCAATAGTTTACGAAATTGATGACTTAGTTTATTTGTGTTATCAATGCTTCAAAGTGATTACAGCTTAACTTTGATTTAATGTATAATAAAAGAAATAAATATGTAGAAGCAAACTTGTTTATAATGTTATTGATAATATTATCTTCAGAAAGCAAACACACATAATTTTTACGAGCGCGGGAAACACGACTTCCAAATGTAAAAATTTACGAAGGTCATAAAAATTCTGAAAGTTTGCGTTAGCGAATATTAGAGTTCGCATTCTGGAATTAAGAAGTAGTTGATGACTCAAGAAAATCTCAGATTTACAGGTAAAAGTTCCACGCACAGTGGCAACATAATTGAGAAATTCCGATACGCCGGACAAGGATTTCGCACGACGGAAACGCGTCCGGATTTTTAGATTGGCAGCAATCGCTTGTCAAACGTCGTCATTTACATTCCACGATAATCGAGAGGCCAATTTAGGCTGTATGAGACGCCGTCGAATCAATCCGCAACGCTCTACTTAGCCAAATGTGCGAAGTACGTTGCGCTTAATTGCGGAAAAGAGCGGATCGATTACGAGACCGGTAATGAAGTAACGAATTATGGCAGCAGGTCGATGGGGAAAACCAACGTGTTTTGATCACGATTTGGTTCGTGGCTGCAACGCCTTAGCACTCGAATATGATTGAACTCTAGTATACGTCGAAGGATCGCAGAAGTTGCACGTCCATTCAATTGAGACCAAGGGACAGAAACTTTCCCTGAAGTTTCATTGAACTTTCAATATTAGATCAGATTAAACAGCAAAAATATTAATACATTTATTAATTAGATTCGCATTAAATTTATGTTTGGATAAAAATAGTACATTTTTTCTTTGAAACATTTTATAAAAAACTGAGGTGTTGCTTTTTAGCAATTTCGAGTGAATAATTATTATAAGACAATTTTTTATAATATATTTATGTTTCAAATAATTATTATATTTTCTAAAAAATTTGATAAATTGCTTGTCTACAGATGCCTCAATTTTCTACACAAATACTCTTTGTAACAAATTATTTCTTAACTTTTATAATATCGTTTCGTTCAAGAATAGCTCTTTTATTCAACCGGTGAAACCGATCACTTTCCTCCGCAGCAAACATGATTAAACGGGCGTTACGCTTATAATAAACGTTATATTTATTTTTATAGAAATTTAATTATACAAAAAAAGAACATCTTGTTATCACAATAGATGATCATTGCCATTCACCCTACATTAAATGTGTTGGAATTTATACCTCCTTAAAAATGCACGTAAAATATCGCTACTTTCTCTACACCATTCTCTGTCATCAATCTCTATCAATTAATTGTAATTGGCACGCAAGGTCGCATTATCGATGCCTTACAGTTTTATATTTGTAGAGACAAGACACGACCGAGCATTCTCGATTTTCTTCACGATCGATCGCGTTAGAAACTGAAAGCAAACCTACATTGATTAAACATCTATCGGAAGAGACAGATGTAGGCTGATCTCAACACAAAGTCTTCAATGGCTACAGATTACAAAAATAATTGCCACGCGTACAGCGATTAGTCACGCTTACTGTAATTACAGTAATTATTTTCATAGGTGGTGATCATCGGGCGTCTGTTACATTTTACGGTTACGGCCCGAGTTAAATTGGTCTTTACAAAGGATTAAGGCATTGTTATTTGAAAACCGGCCCCCGACCCGAATGCTCGCGGAAGTGCCATTTTCGACGAATTTATGTTGAGTGCTATTTAACATAGAAATTAAATCATAATTTCTCAGCTTAAGTCGCGCAAGGAGAAGCAGCTTGACGAAGCCGGCGGACGTAACGGTGCTAGGCATCTCTCGTGCTATTTGCCGCTTCAGCAGATTCGCTAATGGGTTTCTTCCAAAACAAGAAATAAACAAGAACTTTCATAAATCGTATAGTAAATCAATGATTTGATTTACCGCGATTAATTTCTGTTCTACATACTTTAACTAATGTTATTTTTAAAATGCGACAGTTTTGCAAACGTTGCTTCTTTTGTAATTTCATGAATTTTCAAATTATACATTATTAACAGTATTATATTTTATTACACGCGATGTAAAAAATTAAAAGGGCAAAAATATATTCAATTAAAATCATATTAAAGCATGTGGTAATAAATGTACGAGCTATTGTATGAAAGAATGTAAACTTTGTACAGTAAATAAATTGATAAAGAGTTCACATTTATGAGGAACGCGAGAACGTTCTACAAATCATGATAAAAATAATGCTACTTGATAGAAATTGCCTTGATAAAAAATGGCTTAAATTATTAGTTTCTTCTGAGGAATTTTGTAAACAAAATTTGTTACACATTTAAAGATACGATATCTAATCTTTGCTATGCTAATACTGCCTGAATCAAAATAATTGCTGTACATGAAATGTCTTCAATTCGATATGACAAGATTTCACCAGATAAAAATTGTCCTAGATTTTTTTGAACTCGTCATCTTCTTTAACAACATGATCCAAAAAATATTCGGACGCATTCTAGTTTATGCGTCTTCTAAGCAAATGCAAAAGTAGGTCGACGATGTATCAAGAGCCAAAGATGCGTCAAGATCTCATTTGCAATTTATTCTTTGTGCAACATGATGCAGCAAACTATATGCACACTACAGCACGCCGGATAGCCTCAATATATTCTGTTTTCGGTTAACTCATCAGCTGAGTCGCGTTGATGTTCAGATAGACACAACACCGTGATTCACTTGCGCGTTCTTCGTCATCTTCAGTTTGCACATTTAACACTTCACTTTACTTGATATATGACTGAGAATTACGTGAACGTTTAACAATATAAATAGAGAATTAGTAATAAAATATAAACAAAAGAGAGAAAATAAGAAGTAAAAGACAAAAAAGATTAAAGAATATCTTGATTACAATTATTTTTCAAGAAAAGAAGCAAAGTACATGAGAAAATAAGAAAGAAAAAAAATATAAAGTAACATAGAACATATAAAAAAAAGAATAAAAAAAAAATTTACAATTTAAAAGTAAATGAAAAGATAAAATACTATAAGAAATACATCTAATTTCTCCGAGAAATATTTCTGATATCTTGAGAAAAAACTAAGAAGAAAAAAGGGATAAAGGAATATGACAGATCCGACAGTCTGCAGTGTACAGTTTGCACGAAGAAGAGAACGAAGGAGAAAGAAGGTCTCAAGACGAAGGAGACGCAACAAGCGGCGCGCAAACGTGGTAGGTGGAAGGGGTCGTTCATACGAAGGAAGAAGAAAACGCGAGCAAGCAGCGAAAGCGGAAGAACAGGAAAGCGTTGAGAGAAAAAGAAGCAGAGCAAAGAAGAGATGACTCACCGTTCCTCTTCCTATTGGCCTGGTTGCTTGTGGCGCGTACGGCGAGTGTGCCGTGCATGTGGGTGAGCACGATCGCGAGCACGACGAGTGCCGGATAGCCGCCGCCGTAGGACCTCATGGCGTCTCTTTTTTTCTTTTTTACCGAACGGACCGAATCGGAAAATAGAGGCAGAGAAATAGAGAAGGAGAGAGAGAGAGAGAGCACGTTGGCGATCGGAGAGGCGAACTCTCTCAGGACTCTCTACCGCCTCGAGCGGACTTGCTGAGGCACTGGCTCAGCGTCGACTGAGAACGTACTTTGTGCTTGCCGCTCTATCAGCAGGACCGTCACTCCTCTCGGTACGTTTCACACCGCGGAGCTCCGTGTGGTATCCCCCGGGTAGGAACTACCACCACAACTAGTCCACGACAGGGACGGGACCGTCTATTTGACGAAACAAAGTCGCGCTACCCGCGTCGCGAATACGTGTGCCCCCGCACTCTCGCGTCCCCCGAATTTAATTCTCCGTCGGCGGTATCGGTCACCACCGGCTTCGCTCTCGTATCCACGCGCTTTACCCTGCACACCTATTTAAAACCTATCGCTCCACCTCGCGCTCTTTACCATTGGCTCCTGCCCCAATTCTTTGCCCAATGGTACACTCTCGCGCGCGTTCACCTCCTTTTCAGATCGGCGACGGTGGCGGCGGTAGAGAGAGAGAAAGAGAGGCGACGGGGTGGTGAAGTAGGTGAGATAGTAGGTGGTGAAGTTTTACCAAGGCGGTGAAATACCATCGTGGGACACGTACGATGGGCGCTGTGCGCGCGAACAGACCTCTCGAGCTTGATGATGACGTCGAAATTTTCCCCCCTTATTCGCGTGCTCACGCACGCATGCCGATCGCGACTTACAAAGGTGAAGGGGGTTTTAGGTGGGGTTCGCGAGCGAGCCAAGATCGCACCGCGACCGCCGTCATCGTCGTTGACGTTCGGTTCCACGTCTCTCTATATACACGGTTCTAGGATACCACGGAAAACCGCCCGGTCATTTGTCTGCATTACGATCGAAATATGGGCGTTGCGCGTTGAGAAAGATCGCCGGGATTTCCGCAATAACATTACTTGCGGGAAGAAAAATCGATGGAAAGCGCGGCGGACAAGGTCAAGGCATTGATAAATTGGCGAACGCTATTTAATCTGATAATTCAAAAAGAAAATAGTGAAGAATACTATAATAATAAAATAATTAAATTCTATAAAAGCGAAAGAAATAAATAAATGTTAAAAATTGAAAAAACAATGTTAACCAAGTTAAAATATTTTATAACTGTAAAGAGAAAACAATTTTTTAAAAACGGCGGAAAGCAAGTCTTTTCGAAGTAGTTGAAAATTGATGAAATCTATTCAGGCTGACGCGTGTGTGTACGATGTGACACGACCGCTGGCACCTGCTGTGCAATCTGCTGGTCCTGAAAGCGCACTTTCCTGTTGCGCCTTTCGATTTCGCTTGTGCCAGGACTCTTTCGATAATGACTGCCTCGGCACACCCAAGTCTCAGATACTTCGACGCACCTTGGCAATGAGCAACGATTCACTGGCTCTTAGATCGATTTACCTTGGCACTTTTCTCCTCTTTCTACAGCGTGGTGCTTGATATTTCGCGCTTGCGAAAACCGCGGCCGACTTTCAATCGGCATTGTCGGCGGACAGCTGCCTAATCTCACGATAGCGTCCTTTCTTGCGACTGAGTACACAAAAAATTACCGTTTTCTTTTCCTCAATTCGACCGACTTTAACATTACGCTGTCCACTAAATTCTAGATCGCTATTTATTCCGTATGTTATGGCGCTTTTGCATGCAATACTAAAATATCTATATTGTACATATTATTTGAAATATAAGTAAATATAAATAATTAGCAATTGATAACATTTTTTTCTATAATCAAATAATTTGTAATAATTAAAATTTTATAATAGATTTTAAATATTTTAAAAGGGAATTTTAGCCATATTCTTGACAGAATTTTGGGTAAATGTTTACTGACTTGCAACCAGAATTTAATGATCCCAAGAATAATTTCTATGCTAATAAATTTTTCTGTCACATAAAGTCTGTTGCAAATATATTTAAGCGTTGAAGTTATTTATATATTTCAAGTAATAAAAAAATTCTTCAATTAATCAATTTGTTACTAATGATTTTGAAAATAATCAAGTAACACAACAGCCTATAAATTTTATTGTAGTAATAGGCGTATCTGATATGACTTTAGATTAACTCTTCAAATTCACATTAAAACATTACGAAAGTTTAAATTAAACTGATATTACGTCAAATACAAATCTAGATCAAAAACAGAACAGAGAATATTGCTTAATGCTCGTAACTATTATATTATTTGTACAGCTAGAGCACACTATATATTCCATTAAGTAATACGATATAAGCAACTTAATCACGTTTGTTCATGCGAATCTAATTAATAACGCGGCACGACTATTGTTACGCGCGCTTTTGCGCGATCGATTAATGTTTTTAATCCGGCTGGTTGCGTTTGCCAGGCCAAATACGAATACGATCTACTTCAGTAGTGATCTTAATTATTCATCGTCCTTCAGGTCTTATTAAGTATCGATGATAAGCCGTCCGCGCAACACGGAAGCTCGTCGCGCTCGTCTGTGGGCCCAAGCGTGTCGAAAGGATTCGTCGTAGCGGGACAGGTGTGACGGCATTGGTATATATTCATTGGTGCGATCCCCGCGTCCGCAACCGTCATATTGGAATACTTTTCCCCTTCTCGCGGTAGATGGTCCGTCTACCGCAACGTCGTCAACGAGAAAAAGGAAAAGGCGGGCGCGCGACCACGCGAGAAAGCCGACGATTCAGTCAGAGATTCGCCGTTGATAATGGCCTGATCATGGTGATTGCTCAATCGGGAAAAAGTTTCACGCCCTGTATTTAGTATGTTGTTTTGCACGTGTTAAAAAAAAGCATTAAAATAAAGCAACCGCGAAAAAAAAGCAAGTCTATGAAAGAAGGATAATACGCTTCTTCCGCAAGCGCGATATAAGCCGATAATGTTTCTTTGAAAAATTAGAAATAACAAGATTTTATTTTAAACATTATGTATGTTCTAAAGATAAATTTTTCATACAACTTTATTTTTCTATTTGTTAATAAATGTAATTATCTCATTAAAAATCTACTACTATGTGTAAAAAAAATTTGCAATTTAATTTGATATTAATCAAAGTATTAATTAATGAATCTCTTCCGTGGGATGATAAATTTTAATCAATTATTATTTATTCGAAAAAAAGTAAACGTGAAAAGTATCCGGTTAGCACGGATAGTATTCTTCTTCCGTTCTTCCGTCAAGATGAAAGCAATTGATTCGATTGCGCATCTCTCGCCAAGCGTACTAGTGAAATGCGTTCGTGCAGGCACGCGACGCATTCTAATACATTGGTTTCTTTTTCCGCGAAGATTCCTAAGATTGTGCGGTTTCCGTTTACCGTCGTCTCGACTGACATCGGTGAACTTTAATCGAAATTGAAAGGGAATCTATTAATGCGCCGAGTGGAACAGATGTAAATTGCTCCGTCGAAGCCTTAGCCCGCCGTTGCACTTTTCAGCCGGTCGTTCGATCGGCTGAAATGTGTCGATTTCGTTCGTCGAAGGTGTCGCGCGAGCGGGTGAATGGAATCGAACGGCGCCGCTCGATAAACTTTGATTGCTTTTCCGATTTTTGTCACGCAAACCTTGCCTCGACAAGGACGTTGTGTAGAGCGTTTTTCAAAGTGGTTACGCGCGAATCAGCCCCAATTGCTACTCACTAGAAAATTATTAGGAAAGAAAGTAGGATCCTTGATCACATAAATTAGGTAGATTACAGTACTTGAAGAACGCTAGTTTAAGAATATTAAAGGGTAACATAGTAGAGAAGATAGAAACGTGAGATAAAGCTAAAATGTCAAATATTGAGCTGGTTTTTAGCAGAAAAATACAAAAATTAAAAAAAATTTTTAAATATTTGCACAATATACATCAATGTTATTGAAAGAACGTTAAACATAACATTCATTACATAAATGCGATTAATGAATGCCAAGAAATTAATCGATATAAAAATTGATAGCGCACTAGTAGTTTGAAAGGCACTGTCTAATGCTGGATTTGTTTAAACCGACCGGACAACTTTTGCTTAGAATTTAAATATTATTTTTACGTGGTGAACAAATCATTCCTATTTTGCCTGTACACGACATGCATGGATTTATAAATAAATCAGTCGAAAGGAAGGTACTTTAGTTCATATTTATGCGAAAATAATGGCGTTTATTGAATAAACAGACCATAACTTTCATCAAGTGTTATAGATAGTTACATGTACAAAGATTTATGCTAAGGAAATATAGAATTTACAACTTAGTGGTTATATTTGTAAAGCGGAAGAGTTTTACACTCTGCGTTTAAAACTATTTTATTTTGCATGAGATAATCTGTTAATTTGTTTATGTCAAAGATGTATATTATTCTTTTTATAAAAATTATCTACACTTATTTCTTCATAATTTCAAATATATATGAGTCACAAGTAAAAAATATATATACTCATATAATTTCAAGAATACACTGATAAGTGAAATAATATTTCATTTATTTTTCAATTTTTTATTTTACTGATATTCCTCAGCCATAAAAAACCTAAATACCATAATTACGGTTAATTGATATACTGACACCTACGATAAATATAGACTTCATTTGCTTCCGGCAGCTAATCAATCTTTTAACTTCATTTTTCTACCATTAGCTTGAAATAATAATACGTTATATGCATTCGCTCGCCCATATTAACCCGAACGTACATAACGCGAATGTTGAGTTATGTAACATGAGAATTTACAATTATCCACGATCATTCTATACGACTTTTTATTGAAATAACAATGATATTATGAATAACAATGATATGTTGTTAAAGCTCGTTTGCAAGTCACATCTCACAAAATATATGCATTTCTAATTGCTCATCTCATTTCAGAAACTTTTTACAGAAGTAAATATAATTTTAGTTATAGATAAATCAATTAGTTATAAATATTTGACGATAAACAAGAGCAATTTTCTAG